CCCCCCCCCCAGCCCAGAACCCTCTTTACACTGGGTTGTAATGAGATGCCAAAGGAGATATTTAAGAACAGGTTAGATAGACATCTGTCAGGGATGGTGTAGACGGAGCTTGGTCCTGCCTTGAGGGGGGGGGCTGCACTCATGACCTCTTGAGGTCCCTTCCAGTCCTATTATTCTATGATTCTATGTGTTTTAAAGTGAAAAACTTCCTTCTCCGTGTATGCCTCTGCATAAAGCCTTTGTCTTGGCTGCTCATTGCCTGAACTGGACCACATTTTTCTTCCCATCCACTGTTCATAGAGTTTCACGCCTTTATTTACTTTTTAAAATATCGTTTTTATTACTTCTAGCACTTCATCATTTACCTGTGTTTGCACAAGGATTCCAGACACTGTTTGCTTTATAATAGCAAATGTTATTGAAAACATTAAGGCTGTGTCTAGACTGGCAAGTTTTTTCACAAAATCATGTGATTTTGCGGAAAAACTTGCCAGCTGTCTATACTGGCCACTTGAATTTCCAGAAAAGCACTGACGATCTCCTGTAAAATCATCAGTGCTTTTCCGGAAATACTATGCTGCTCCCATTCGGGCAAAAGTCTTTTTCCAAAAGACTTTTGCGCAAAAGGGCCAGTGTAGACCCTTTCGGGGCTTTTTTGTGGAAAACTGCATCTAGATTGGCCACCTACGCTTTTCCGCAAAAAGTGCTTTTGCGGAAAAGCATCCTGCCAATCTAGACGTGCTTTTCCGAAAAGGCTTTTAATGGAAAACTTTTCCGTTAAAAGCATTTTCGGAAATTCATGCCAGTGTAGATGTAGCCTAATAGTTGCAACTATCATCAGCAGGCACATCTCAAAGACTTTCTAATAGAATACTTCATGTTTGTATGGAGGCAGTTTTCATTCTAATTTTTTGTTGATTTTTTTAAAAATTTAATACACAAATTTACTCTTTGGTCTGGAGTCTTTAAGAGTGAATCAGCTAGTGTCAAAACTTCTTCAGTTGCTTTTGCTCCACCAATGGGGATTACCACCTCTCTATCTAGAACCTTAGTGCTTAGTCACATATCACAACTTGACTACGTCTAGACTGGCATGATTTTCTGGAAATGATTTTAACAGAAAAGTTTTCCGTTAAAAGCATTTTGGGAACAGAGCGTCTAGATTGGCACAGAGGCTTTTCCGCAAAAGCACTTTTTGCGGAAAAGCATCCGTTCCAATCTAGACGCGCTTTTCCGCAAAATAAGCCCCGATCGCCATTTTCGCGCTTGGAGCTTTTTTGTGGAAAACAAATCTGAGCTGTCTACACTGGCCCTTTTGCGCAAAAGTTTTGCACAAAAGGACTTTTGCCCGAACAGGAGGAGCATAGTATTTCCGCAAGAACACTGACAAACTTACAAGCGGCCAGTGTAGACAGCTGGCAAGTTTTTCCGGAAAAGTGGCTGATTTTCCGGAAAAACTGGCCAGTCTAGACACAGCTCTTGAGTGCAGACTCCAAATATTCATCACAATCCAGATTTTTAAAGGATAAAAGCACCTAAATGCTTTTGAAAGTACCATTACTTGCCTAAACACCTTTATAAAACAGGCCCAAAGGACAATGCGTTATCTTCTCAAATACAAACATCTCCTAATATATATAGGCTATACATTAGTGATGGTAGTGTGTAACTGAATAGTTGTGTAACTGCATCAAATTTTAGCAGCTACACAACAATAGTCCCCAGAAGGGGGACCAGCAGCCACTGCACTCCCAACCCCATTCCTGGGGAGCCCTCTGCCAACCCATGCTGCTTCCTATCTTCCCCACGCATACCAGCTCCCACCTACCACCCCGCATGCTGCTGCCTTTGATGCAGAGGCAGCAGCGGGGTGGCAGCAGCCCCTGTCTACGGTGGGCCAACGGACATTGGGCAAGGGATGTGGCCTCAGGGATTACTACTTCAAGGCAACAGCAGTGGTTACCCCCTCCCCCCTGCAGCAGGGAAGTGGAGCACACTCAATGCACACTTGCTTCACTTCCCAGCAGATCCTGGAGTGTGGGAGCCTGACAATTGCTGCTGCCCCACACCAGGCCACCCTGGTAATCCCCAAAGCTGCATCCCTCAGAGGATGGGTTGCAATGGGGGATGGAGAGGCCAGAGCAGTGGTGGTAAGAGGCAGGGCTTTCTCCTGTGCCAGAATGTGAATATGCTCCGGTCTCTAGGGCTACGTCTACACAACTTCCCTCTTCTGCTTATTGGATAGTAGACTAGTCTTTAACATCCTTACCCAGAACACAAGAACTAGGGGTCTGTGAAAGCAAGGGATTTGTATGCAGCCATCTTAGTCTTGTTAGCAAGAGAGCAAGAGTCAGACTAGTTCTGACTCTTGACAACGTGAGAGCTGTAATAAGATGCTGCCTTCGCCTCTCACCTCCATATGGAGATAAGCAGGGCTCGATAAATTAGTCAATCTACTCGCCTGAGGAGAGTAGATTTTAAGCCAGCATGGCACCGCAGCGCGATCAGCGCGTGTCCAGCATGGTCTGCAAATGCGCAGGCTGCCTTCGCCTCTCACCTCCATATGGAGATAAGGATAGAATGCTGACTCTGGCAGGGACCTTGAGATAAGGAGCATCTGGGTGGAACTAAAATAACCGTTAGCCATTGGTGTTTGTAATGGGAAGGATTCTAATTGTTTATTGTTATTATATGTAATGGACAGTATATAAACTACTTCATAATTGCTTGTATTGGAAGATCTGCCTGGTGGGGGGCTCCGCCCCCTCCCCCGTTCAAACCAGTTTTTCCCTTGCTGTAGCTTGTAATAAAACTGCCTCTGGCTAGTTGTTGCTTACAAACGCAGAGTGAAGGCTTGTTTTCTTCCACAATTTGGTGCCGTGACTCGGATGGCAATGCCTGATTGACACAGCAGAGGGCTGAGACCGTGACTCGGATGGCAACGCCTGATTGACACAGCAGAGGGCTGAGGACAGTTCCCCTTTCAACCCCCAAGGCACCAAACAAGAGGTAAGAGACCTTTTGAAATCTCTACTGGGGGTCAAGGGAGGACTGACTGTGGAGCCGGCTGTCTCTTGTGGGCTAACGCCATCCGAACTTATTGAATCTGCAACAAGGTCAGACGCAAAGCGGTGCTGGGGAAATTTCTTTTCTGCCCCCAATAAGCTTAGTGAACGCGGTGCTGGGGAAATTGTAGTTGCCACCCCCAATATGGTTAAGTTATAGTGGTGCTGGGGAATTTGTTTTTGCTGTCCCCAAATAAGGTAAAAGTTGTATTGAGTCCGGACATAAGGAACTAAGGTTCACACGGTGCTGGGAAAATTGTTGTTTGTCGCCCCCAATATGGTTATGGTTAGAGAGAGATGCATCTAGACATGAGAAATGAATGAGTATGAATGTAATGAGTGGAGTATGAATGCCGCTGCCCAGGTCTGAGACTTACGCTGATTCTAGCTGCACCAGAGCTTTCTCACGAAGGAGTTCTGAAAGCAAGGGGGGCTCAGCCGAACTTCGAGACCCAGTGAATATGTGAGGGAGTGACGACTCTCATTTTATGAGCTGTTGATAAGGTCTGACTCTCTAGACCCAGCAGACCCCTTCTTTGGAGTGTGTGGAGTTAGTTTCCTATGAACCACTGAGTGGGCAGGGATGAACTGCAGAAGCGGGTAGGGAGTAGACAGGATACTCCCCTGAGTGACTAAACTGGGTGGGGATCAGTCTAAGCATACCCCCACACCACCAAAAGGCACTCCTGCATACTACATGTATGTGCATCATGC